ATACGTGGCCAGGGCCAGGCTCTGGTGCTCTTGTCCATATGAGTGGTGAATGTACTGAGGCGAGCCCACCGCGCCCCCGGCATAACCCTGGTGGTGGTGGTGATGCTGGACCATGGGAGATGAGAGATTTCCAGAGTAAACAGCGGGAGCGCACGAGGGGTACCCACCACTTACTTCTGCTTCCTGATTTAACGCGTAGGGGCTGTAAGGCGCGCCGAAGTTCTGCGCGCCGTAGCTTGGACCACAACTCGAGTGGGAGTAGGATACCCCCAGGTTCCCAGCAGTCTGGTAGGTGGCCGGCTGAGGGTGGTGATGGTGGTGGTGGTGGGGCGGGCTGATCTGCACCCCCCTGCCCACTAGGAAGCGGTCGTCGCCGCCACAGCTGTTGGCACTGACGGCGCACGACTGGAAAGTTGTAATTCCATGGTCGGAGGGGTAGGCTCGCGCTGAGCAGGTCCCCGAGTCGCCACCGCTGAGGATGGGGTATTCCAGGAAGGAGCTCATTCTTGCATTGTCCATCTGTCACTGAGTGACCGGGTCCTGCGAAGCCCTGGGTGACCGTGCCAACTTTCTCACTTCCTCCATGGGGCCGGAGAAGAAAAATGATATGAATGTACAGTGCGCAAGAGGGGGGGCGGGAGGGCGGAGGGCGCTAGGGGAGGGGCACGTGACTATATCAGCCAATGGCGGAGCTTGCTGCGAAAGTTTGCTGGCTCCTGCGGTGATGGATCACCATTTCAGTGGCATTTAAATCCCCGGCGCTCCTCAGTCTAGGTGACGCGCAGTCGCCCCCCCAGGCAGCCCGGGCGGCAGCAGCAGCTGCGGCAGCTGCCGGGGCAGATTCGGAGCGCTGGGGCGAAGGGGAGCAGAGGCTGCTTTCTGCGCGCGCTGACTCCGATCTCCCCCCGCTCCGGGAAGTGGGGGCTGGAAGGCATCCCCCGTCACCGCCCCCCTCCCCACCGCGCACAGAAAGATGAATTGGCAAGAGGTGAGAAGCGAGGAGGGCTCCTCGATCTCTCGGGTCGGGAATCAGTGGGCGGGAGCTCGCTGGGCCGCCACTAGCACACTGGCCGAGCCCGGAACGCAAGGAATTGGAAGGGTTGCTCCCTGGGCGCTTTCCGTTCAGTGCCTTCTGCGGTGCCTCGAGGAGTGCCGAGAACGGTGGCGTAGGACGAGACTGGGCCACCAGCTCTCTAAGCTCGGGATGGAGAGGGAAGTACGCAGAGAGCTGGCTGGGAGGAACCCGAGTGGGCGTGGAGGGGACGAGGGCAAAAAAGGAAACTTCCCTTCTCCAAGGAGGGTCTTGAAGCCTCCTTTCCTCCTCCCCCCTCCCCCCCCGTCGGCTATTAGCGTGGCAACGTGGAGCTTTTGTATGTAATTCGACGCCCGGGAGTGGGTGAGCCTTGGGAGCTAGGCTTGCTGGCCAAGGCCAGGGGTGGCCCAGCTCTTCGCCCTCCCTCTCGCCTCGCTCTCCGCCCCTTTCTCCTCCCCACTCAGCTTGCTCTGGGAGCCCTACGGGATCCGTAGCAACTCCGCCGGTGGATTTTGAGGGGTAGGAGGCGGGGGGAGAGAGATGACGCTAGCGGACGTGGCAAGCCTGGGGGCCGGGCCCTGCGCTGCAGGCCATCTGCCGGCTCCCTAGGACCCAGGAGCCTGCGTGCTCCGACCGGGGCCTCAAAGGGCGAGACCACGGCTACCGCAAAGTACGATGCACTCTCCCCCCCCCCCCCCCCGCAACGTTTCTCGTTTTCTGAAGGGAGATGTTAGGAGTGGTAGAGCTTCCTTTATCCACCCCCCCCATTCTACTGCACAGCTGAAGTGGGGGTGAGGGGCTGGCAGG